CAACATGGAAAATATGGATTATCTGTCTGTTTATTTCACTGGCATACTGAAATTTTATATCTTTTATAATGTGTTTGCATGCGAACACTCACGGTTAATAGACGGAATTTGATGCTGCATATATATAAATATATATGTAGATTAATGTATTTAAGTACCGCCTTTCCCGTGTTTCTTTTTTATAAAAAGGGAAATTTGAAAAGAAAAGGGAAACTGAAGTCAGTAATTAACCAGCATATCACATTTTTTGTCAAATGTTACTGTTTTTGCCAAAACCACATCCACTGAAGTCACCATTGCTTTGCTGCTAGGGTTTTACTACGGAACACGTACACGCCGCTAGAGTGGACTATATCATATAGGCAGGTTTGATGCTAGCGGGGTTATTTTCGTCCTCAGTAATCATTGTGACAATGAATTAAAATCATTGTTGATGAATGCTAGGCTTGTTCGGTATTTAGAACAACAGTATATAACTGACACTGTTTTTTACTTAGCCTCCAAAAAATAAAAAGGGAAAGAAGGGAACTGTCATCCATGGCGTCTGCACTACAGACATGACGAAGGAGGAAATTGAGAAGTTTGTCATCCTTCTTCGTGAAGAATTAGACAAAGAACGAACTGAAAGAAACATGCTTTCCTTGGAAAGAGACAAATTGACTACTTTTTGGCAGCTAACCAAGCGACAATGTGAGGAGGCTCGAGCAATGCTACGGAAAAAAGAACGTGAACTGGAGGACGCAGAAGAGAGACATCAAATGGAAATGCGCGTAGGTTTACGTCGGTGGTTTTAAAACATTCTCCGAGACCTGTAAAAATTCTGGCGGTTTATGGAAAGAGTAAACTCTATCCTTATCACATATTTTAATTATAATGCTTTTTCTTTGTTGTAGATCTACCGCCAAAAAGTGAAGCATATGCTGTTTGAACAGAACTCTAAAGAGGCAGACTTAAAGAAGGAGACATCTATCACTTTGAATGCAATGAGTGATGAGATGCGCATAGAAGTCAGGGCATTGCAAAATGAGAACTACACCTTAAAAGCACAATTACGGTACAGACAACTGGAGTCAGAAGAAGCTATCAAAATGCTCAAAAGGCAACACGAGACTGAAGTAAATGCAATATTTACTCACCATTTATTTTAGGAATTTGAAGTTTAAAAACGCCTAGGACAAAATACAATGATCAGAAAATAGTAGAGAACAGAAGGAATATGTGAGCTCAAGTAATAATAAAATTAATTAAGGTGGGAATATTAGTAGAATAATTCGAATATTTTAGATACTGTGCTTTCTCTGAAACAACATTTGCCTACATTTTTTTCGTACATCCATCAAAAACGAATAAGTGCATTTTATAAACAGATTGTGAAATGTTGAGCTTTTCGGCTTGAGAGGTTATAGTAGTCGGTAAAATAACGAGCACTGACTGTATTTAACAGATTACATTGTCTATTTTAGTACCCATGGCTTTATAATTTTCTTTAAATGCCACTTTTAAATAGCTGGTAGTGGTCGAAAATACGGATTACAAAAAGTAGCAAATAAACTCACCCATTTAAGAATGTAAAAGAAGGTAACTTTTGAATGCTGCCAAAAATCTTTGTGAAATGGCAATTATGGACCCAAATTCAAGCTTTTATGACTTTAAATAACATTATTAATGTCAATTTGCTACCATATATTGTTTACTTTTGCCTTTTTATTCATACGACATTGAGACTTTGCAAAAATCTGTTGCCGTCATGTGATAAAGCTACAGCTAATTTGTGACGTTTCGGAACTGACCACCTAGCTAATTAAACGATGCCTCCCCTTCCGATATTGCATTGGATATAAATACTGCTCGCTGCGTAATGACAGAAAGCTCATAAATCTACTAGATCAAAAAAATCTGCTGCTTCGACCTACTTTATTAATAAAATCCAAAAGATCACACTTGATAGGAAGCATAAAGCAGAATTTTAGTTTCGGCTTGCTCATCTGATTTTAAAGGTGGGCACTTGCAAAAAATGCGAATTAAAATGTGTAAACTTTTATAACTTGTAAACCGACAATGTTCTGCCAGTTCTGCTTTATTGCTTATTGCCTGCCACTATGCAACTACCTGCGTTGACCGTAGGTCACCACTCAAAAGTGAAGGGGAACCAACTTAATTTTGTTCGTAATTGGGCACTAATTCAGCACTTGAGGTATGGAAGAAAAATCATATCTACGTTTTGGATCTGTTCCAAAACAATAGAAGGAAGAGTGCACGAGAAAATTCATCAATGATCTGGATTCATGTTTTCCATTTCGGCACAACACAGAGAAAGGCGCTTAGTGGTCTCACACAAAAGAGTTTGCTCTGAGGAAAGAATGGCACATTACGAGTCTGTTCTATTATAGGGAGACTTCCTTGGTCGCACTGACCATAATGCTAGCGGCAGTCTTATTTCAAGGCTGTTCTGACAACCTATACTAAGGAATGATGTGCTGAAGATCCTGATCAAAAACCAGCAAGACAACGAGCTAGTGGCTCAACCGTTAAGGCGTTTGACTCTGATCAGAACGGTCGTGAGTTAGAGGCTCGGGTAAGAAACCACTTGGGTTGGGTATGACGGGCCGATGACGGCTAATAAGCCAAAAATGGCCGTCCTAGTCTCCCTTTTCTTTGTCGGTAACGTCCTTGAGCCTAGATCTAATAATACTTGGGGCTAGAGCCCCTGTAACCTTCTTGTCTCGCTTCAGTACAGCTTGCAAGGTAAAAGACGGAAGGTTCAGGTCTCTGTAGATACAAGTTAAAATTCCAATCACATGATGTAGTTCAGGTCAGCGATTAATAAATCTTGGCAGTGAGAAAAAAATGTGTGGCAGATGGGAGACAAATGGATGTGTCATTCAACGGAAATGGAATTAGGTTCTAAAGTTTCCTCCTTTTGTCAGCCGGAGCCTATGTCCGCAAAATCAAATTTATGCCCTACTTCCTGAGCTCCTCAAGCTAGTCGAAACAGTCGATCAAACGCGCACAATGCTAGGTCTTGCTCATGCCCTCAAGAATGCCCTCCTCATACAGCGTAATCTTCCCGGCTTCAAGGGCCGCTGGAAAGTAGAATCTGATCAAGAATACCAGGTTGCTTACTCGCGTTCACCCGGTTCGTATTTGCTGTACACCAATCCAAGTTCCTCCTCACCAAGACGTAAAACTAGGACCCATCTGCCTCCCCCCATCGTCTGCACATATCATCTGTCCTCTTTATGCTAGAAC